TCCCCCCTTTACATCTACGCCCCTGTTCAGCATGAAGAAGCCAGAGAGTCGGCATCCAATTCCCAAATCAATAAGGCAGTTGGTTTAATTACTATTGGAAAATGCTTGTCATTCCTCTGTAGCATCTGGTCCCCACTGGACCCTCATCATTTCCTTCACCTGCTCCCCCCACCGACCAAACTGTGCAGCTCTGCAACTGCATCCTGGCCCATCCTCACCCTTCTGCCCCCAACCCTCACCTCCTTGTACCCCCAATATGTTTTTCCCCAATAAAAAATATTAAAAATTTTTTTTTTAAAAAGAATATAAAAGTCCTCATCACGGGGCAAACAGACAACATCATCATAGATGGAAAAAGGGATTAAAACTGCTGATGGTTTCATCTTGCTTGGGTCAACAATCAATAGTCATTCTGGGCACCAGCAGTCAGAAGATCAGGAGACTCACTCATTACACTGGGCGAGTCCTCTATCAGGAACCTCTCCAAAATACTTAGGAGCGATGATATCAGCTTGAAGACTAAGGTATGCCTGATTCAGGCCATGGTCTTTTCAATCACCTGGTACATATCTCTGAGAACTGGACATTGAATACAGATGACAGAAGAAGAATTGGAATCAGGCCTGGAATCCAGGAGCCTCAACCCACCCAGCTACGCTCTGAGAGCATACCTTTCTGCTACCTGCTTCTCATCCTCACACCCTTCATTGGTAAAGTCTGCACTTCCATAAAACAAAGAATCAAGGTAATCTAGAACCTCCTTATCATAGCATATTGTCTGCACAAACCTATCTGTCTACTGACATCCCACTTTTGTAATATACCATGATTGACCATTCTAGCAAGCACATTTGACAATTACTGGCACTTGGAATTCTCTCCCTGCTTCCAGAGGGTGTTGGGGTATGACTAGGCAAAAAACTTTTGGGTTACCCCTTGGTAACCCAAACCTGTAGACAATTTTCCTCCCCTGAGCTCCACTCTTTTCTCAGTTTTGCTCCTGGTCTCAACATCAGACCAGAAGTGAAATGGAGATGCATGCTAATTTAAAGAAAGTGTTAGATGGAAATGTACTTTCTTTTATTATATAGAAAGATATTTTTAAATGCATATAAATAAACATTTTTCGTTTGCTTGAACGCTCAGGTTTTATCACCGTGGAGCATGTGTTTTGCTACAGCAGCAGTGGTGACTGTGAAAAACGAGGTTCCAGACTGCTAGTCCATCTGGTGTGATTCAGAGAAAGTGGTTCTGAGCAGCCTCGCTGGGGCAGGGTTCCCCTACAAAGACTCCCAGTCCGAAGCCTCCCCCACCCCCAGAAAGCTGTGCTCCCCGGTTCTGCATCCCACTCTCTGAGCATCTCTGTTACCCAGGCCACAGCCAGGCTGGTTCCTTCAAGCTCTGCCGTCCCCACACCCTCCCCCATCACAGCCAGTCCACATGTACACACACACACACACACACACAGGCTCTGTGAGACCATTCTGTTTCTACCCTGAGCTACTCCCTTGAGTTGATATGTTTTCTATTCTGCTTGTTCCACAGCAACCTCTTGACAATGTATAGGTTCTCAGAGTTGGGTTTCAGACTGTTGTGGAACCTGAAGTTGCATGCAAAGCACACTGTTTTTTTGCTAGAGGCCATGACCCAGCCATGGGCCTTCGAAGACCAGACCAGGCCAGATGTGGGTTCTGTCTGCACGTCTCATGTCCAGTGCCTGTGTGGGGCCTGAACCTATCTGGTGCCCAGGAAACTGTGGTTGCATCAGAACTCAAAAATTTGGTCTTTCCCTTTTCCTCACCTTTGTCTCCCTCTGCTTCTAGGGAAAAGGAAGAGAAAGAGTAAAGCCATTATATGTAAAGCAGCCCTGAAAGGAGTGCTGGAACACCAGGTGACATTCAGGTAACTGCAGGATCGGACAGAGCCTGAGGAGTTCCTCTCCTGAGCCACTAGGCATTAGCCCTAGCCATTAATTGAACTCTCTGGGTGAAAGAAAACTCAATAACCATCTTATAAGGCAGTCATTATGCTGGAAGTTCTCTTAGGCTGTGGCCTTTTATGTGGAGCCCAAATTGAAATTGACAGCAGCTGACATTCACCTGCCTGCCTGGGGAGAAGTTAGAACACCACTCAGGCCTGCCAGCGTGTTAGTCTAGGATACAATCAGCCCATGAACGGGGGGTGGGGTGGGGGTGGAAACTCAGGCTCTTACTTTGTGCTATGGCCTGTGATCCACACCACTCTGAGATCACCTGGAGTATTTTATTTCCATTTTATAAATGAGGAGACTGAGGCTCAGAGAGGCTAACTAGCTTGCCTAAGAGGCTCCATAGCTTGGAAGTAGATGGGCAGAAATCCAAGCCATCTGGCAACAAAACCTCTTACTAAACACTGAGGACGGGAGCTCTCACTGCCTAGTGAGTAATGAGTTGTGCTGCCAACTCAAAGTCAGGCAGTTTGAATCCATCAGCTGCTCCATGGAAGATGGGCAACCTCCTCCCATGATATTTACAGCCTCTGAAAATTACTCGAGGGTCAGTGATGAGTCAGTTTTGATGCAGCAGCAAATAACAAACAATGGCTGGCGAGCTCCGTGTTGTAGGCTGGAGGGAGAAGTATTGCTAACCCACTGGCAGTGCTTCTCTTGGGGTTTCAAAGCCAGCAGCAGCTCCGCAGAACAAAGACAAGCAATCCCATCCTATGTGATTTACGACCTCTGAAGACTTGCTGGAGGGTCAACTATGAGTCAGTCCTGATGAGGCTAGACAGTTAGTCATAGCTGAAGGTGCAGACCTCCTGCTCAGAACATCTTGAGTGAGTGGAGTTCATGAAGAATGCTAGTAGATATTAGTCAGGACTCCAGGATAGAGTAGTGTGGAGAGAGCTAGATTAAAGGAAATTCAAGGGGTTTCTTTGCACTGAGACTAGTCAGGGCATTTGATGTGCTAATGCACCACTGTGACTCTCCCAGAAATGTTGAATCTGCGGGACTTCCCCAACTTACTTGACCAGAGTAACCTCTTTTTGGTAGACAGACTCCCTAACTTCACAGATAGGGAAATGGAGGTCCAGAGAGGGCAAGCAGTTACCCCAGAGTCACACAGCAAATGATTTTAAGGATTGAAAAGTTGTCTCCACTCACAGTCAGCCACCCTTTCACCAACTCTTTTCCATGACCCCTTCCACTGATACCAACTGGTTCCCATTCCTGCCAAAGGCAGGAGGAGGGAGAGAAGCACCAGCTTGTGCCAGGGCTGGATCCTCCGCATGCCCTGTTGTCACATGTCCCAAGAGCAAAGGGCAATGGCAGGCAGGCTGTGCACTTTTTATGGCCCGGCCACCTCCCAGAACAATAAACAGAGGCTCAGGCAGCTGGCACAGGAATCTGCTAGGAAGAGGAAGGCCCGCGGTACAGACACCACTGAGGAGTTGAAGACAGCAGTTTTCCTCAGGAATTTTGTTGTGGTTTTGTTTTGTTTTTTAATTATGACTTTTAAGTTCATTAGTCAAATGTCAACACTATTGCCATTGAGCCTGAATCAACTCACCGCTGACCTCCACCGAGTTTCTGAGGCTGTAAATCACTGGGGAGGAGATTGCCCATCCTTCTCGCAGGGAGCAGCTGGTGGGTTCAAACTGCAGAGAAGTGTAGGCTTGGGGAAGCAGAGGAACTCTCCACAGACGTGCTACCAGAGCCCCCCTCAGGTTCACCCTGCTTATGGTTTTGACCTTTCTCCCCTCCTTGACCACAGCAGGGTTCATTAGTCTTTTAGGGTCAAGTTCAACATCACCTTTTCTAAAAAGACATCAGACATTTCAGAATAACAGGACACTTCCTGACCTCTGATGCTTTCCTTGGATCCTGTTACAGCAGCAGGATCAATGTGCAGGGCAGTCTCCCTACCGCCCTAGAACCTTCTGGGGGCCAAGGTGTGTGCCACCCATGCCTGTCCCATGAGGGTGCCCAAAGGACATTGTTGAAAGTGACCTGAAACGCAGAGATTTTAAAAACTGAAATGACTGAAATACTGATAGTTCCTCTTCTAAAACAGAATACGCATTTTCCATAGTCTTATACACTTAGACTTGCTATTTTGATCACTTGAATGTATTTTGTAGGCCTACACAGAATGAACGAGAATAAGCAGTTCTTAGGGAGGGGTGAGGAGGATTTAGCCTTCTTTAAAATTTCCTTTTAGATAATGTATAATGATTTTTATACAGTTTTTTAAGAGAGGAAAGATTTATTTGTGAGGTTTTTTTTCTTTTTGGAGCTGCTTCTGAGTGAGTCTATGTACAACACTTGTTCAGCTGCACGCTCTGCTTGGTCCAGACTAAGTTCTCCGGGCTTCCCTGAGTCTGGACCGTATGGCCAGCCTGGTTGGGAGCAGGCAGCTGGCAGACTGGACTCTGGCCCCTCACCCCCATTCTAGACTCCCCTCCACCCCGGCAGGGAGCGGAACCATGGGACTTCTCCTCTGACCTGCTCCCCTGTGCCTTGAACTCAGCACCACCTGGGAAAGGTCCAGGACATTTCATAGGGGTGGGTGGACGAAAAGGCACGTGTGAGTTGACAACACCCCTCATCAGATCAGGTCTGCAAGCATTTCATCTTCTCTCAGTCCCTCCTCCTTTCACAAGGGTCTGTCTGTTTCATAGTGTGACTATCTACCCCACCCCTCAAAAAAGAACAGGAAAGGAGGTCTAGGGCCCTGTGACCAGTCCTCTGGCGCTCCCTCTTTGGACTCCCCTAGTCCCCTGATCCTTGGGCTCCCCTAGGCTCCTGAAGTCTAGAACCCAGGGGCTGGTGGAACTCCTCATACACAGCTCACTACACAGACGGGCCAAAGAGAGGCAGGGGCTAGTGGGTGACTGTACCAGGGTCACTCATATGGTCAGTGGTTGGGCTGGGACTCAGATCAGACCTCTTAGGCACTTGAGGAAGCCACAGTTCCAGCACTGAGTCTCCCGGTCCCCCAGCCTGTGAGGCTGGGCAGGGGCTATGGTAGGTACTCCTCCTTGATAGGCAGTGGAGAGGAGGTGCCCAGGAGGCTGGCAGAGCTGGAGCACAGACCCCCCAGGGGTGGCCCGGCTGTGGTGGGGGTGACTTCTAGAGCTGGTGGCAGTGACGGTGGGGGCTGCTGCTGCTGCTTCTTCTTGTTCACTTTGCGCTCCTTTGCCCTTCTGTTTTGGAACCAGATTTTCACCTGTGGGGTCAGAGAGCAAGGGTGGGAGACAGAGTAATGGGGAAAGAGGATCAGAGGGCAGATGGTTGAGACTCAGACTCTTCAATGAGACATTAGAGAACCCCCCCTCCACACACTGACACCTCAGTCACAGTCCCTACACCTCGCTTTCTCTGTTCCCCTACCCTCCAGACACCCCACTCTGTGTATTAGCCAGATCACATGATATGAGCAAGGTACACACAGGCTTACTTGTATTTACTTTCTCATTTGTGGTGAGTAGTTTTACACTGAGGGAGCTCCGGTGACTTCTGTGGCTGTTAGGTGCTGTCAAGTATGACCCATAGCAACACTATGAACAACAGCTCTGACCCCTGTCCTCACCTGTGCCATCTTTACAATCAAACCCATTGCAGCAGTCCCTGTGTCATCAACTCGGTTGTGGGTCTTGGTCGCCTTCACTGCCCCTCCACCTTTTCAAGCATGGTGTTCCTCCACAAGGAATAGCCTCTCCCAGCTTAATCATCTTTGCTTCCAAGGAGCACTCTGGCTGCATCTTCTCCAAGACACATCTATCTGTTCTTTTGACTGTCCATGGGATATTCAGTGTTTTCCCCAACACCACAGTTCAAAGACATCAATTTTTCTTCTGTCATCTTTAGCCGTTGTGCAGCTCTCAGATGGACAGAAAGTGAGCGTGGCCTTAATCAGGTGCATCTCAAACTGGCCTCATTGCTCCTCAGTAACTTGGAGAGGTCCTTAACTACAGCCTTTCCCAGTGCCATCCATCTCCTGATCTGACTGCTGGTACCAAGTGCATCTAAGTAAGAAGAAGCAGTTGTAATAAGGAATTGTGGTGCTAAGCCAAAGGTACATGGTTCAAATTCACCAGCTGCTCCACGGGAGAAAGATGGGTAAGCTCCTCCTGGGTGGTTTACTGCCTCTGAAAACCCACTGGAGGGTCAGATATGGGTCAGTTCTGACTCAGTAGTACACCACAACAACAAATTTCACTTTGAGTGAGCTCTGGTAGCCTTCTGAGTAAGAACAACTGCTGCCAACCCAAAGATAGGCAGTTTGAATCCACCAGCTACTTCACAGGAGAAAGGAAATTTCCTCCCATATGATTTACAGCCTTTGAAAACCTACTGGAGGGTCATCTATGAGTTGGTTCCAACTCAAAGGAACAAAACAATAACAATAATATTTTCACAATGATTTCAGCACATGTTTGCTTGCGGAAATTGTGCACCACACTTTAGTGGGAAGGTACAGGTGGACCTATTCATAACTTGTTTATCTAATAATTTGTTCCTCTCTGTGACTTTCTTCTTTCTCACACCTCCTCCCCGAAGAATCCTTCTCTGTCCTTCCTCTGATTGCTCCCTCCACTATATTTAATCACTCACCCCTCTCATTGCACTGAATAAGCTTGCCTAGGATTCTGAGGCTTCGTCTGACATACTTTGGACATGTTGTGAGGAGAGACCTGTCCTTGGAGAAGGACATCATGCTTGGGAGGGTGGAGGGACAGCACAAGAGGGGAAGGCCCTCTATGAGGTGGATTGATTCAGTGACTGGGGTAATCGGGATGGGAGTGTCAGAAATAGTGTGACTGGCACAGGACAGAGCAGAGTTTAGGGCTGTTTTACAAAGGGTTGCTATGAGTCACAAGCGACTCGATGGCACATAACAACAACAGTGGTAAGAAACTACACTGCAATCACAAAGGCACATGGTTCTAATCCACCAGCTGTGCTGAGAGAGAAGAATGGGCAATCTCCTCCCATGTGATTAACTGCTTCTGAAAACCCGCCGGAGGGTCAGCTGTGTGTTGGTTCCAACTTGATGGTACACAACAACAACATGGCCTATAGCTAACCAGATGCCCTGCTTACTGGCAGGAACTGGATTTAGCAAGAGCAGAAACTGCTAAGTGCTTGCTACGTGATCATGGCAGGAGGTTCAACTTCTCCATCCTCCTTCCTTGACGGAGCTCCCTTATCTTCCTGGAGCCCCCACTCCCCACTCCTGTCTGTGGTGGGAAGATCACACACCTGCCGCTCTGTGAGCCCCAGATTGGCAGCCAGCTCTGACTTCCGCCGGATGGTAATGTATCGGCTGTAATGGAACTCCTTCTCCAGCTCCAGACGCTGGTGGTCGGTGTAAACCACACGGTACTTGTCCTTGGTCCGAGTTTTACCTGAGAAGCAGAGGGGACCAAGATGGGAGATGAAGAGGAGGGGAGGCCTGCAAAAGGCGCAGACAGGATCCTCAGAGGGAAGAGCAATGCAGGACCCGAGGTGGGGTAACAATCACGCCTCCCAGGCCAGGCCAGGAGATTTACAACCTAAATGATGCCGTCCTGCCCATTTATCAGAAGGAGGCTCAGAGGCTCAGAGATGGGAAACAACTTGCCCAGGATTACACAGCGAGTTGCTGATGACCAACCCCTCCAGCTTAACCAGTTGCCATCAAGTCTATTCCAATTCACAATGACCCCCTTGTGAACTATGCCCCACAGGGTTTTCAGTGACTGATTTCTTCAAGTCCCAGACCCCTGAACTTCTGGGTGAAGAACCTCCAGCTTTTCAGCTGCAGTGGTGCACGTTAGCTGTTTGTCCCAGCCAGGGGCTCCCACAAGCCCCTCAGGTAGTTCTGATTCAGGAGCCCTCAGAACTGAGAATTGAGGAGCAGTGACATGGAAGAGACTACGGGCAGGCGAGGGTCGATCCAAACAAACTAAGTGGCAGCTGCTGCTTGTGCTGTGTTTGAGAAGAGCACGGAAGAGCCAATGCAGGCACAGGGGGAAACAGCACCACAGGAACAGGCCTGAGTGCAGGCTCCCAAGTTCTTACAGAATGACTGGAGGCTGCTGGCCCCAAAGCCAGTCCAAAAGGGCTGGAGTCCCTGGTAGGTGCCCCAGGATCTGTCAGGAGCTGCAAGAGGCCCCGAGCTAGGGCTGCACCCACTCCTTCCCATCCACATTCCCATCTGTGCCTCACGGAACACGGGGGGTGCAGAGCAAGAGTGACTCAGTTCCCTCTATAGACATTCACTGAACCCCTGCCATGAGTCAAGCACTGGGGTACAGCAGGAGCAGAATGAACTCCCTGCTCCACTGTGGAGGGAGACAGGCAAACACAACGTGATTGCGGAAAACATTGGGAATGTTCATTGATTAGTATTTTAGAGAAAAAGAAAGCAGAGGAAGAAGGCTAGGAATTCAGGGAGGAGGGCTTGTGCTTTATAACAGCGAGACCAGTGATAGCCTTACTGGCATCTAAAAGAGCAAAGAGGGAGAGTGACATGGGAGGGGAGAGAGCTTGAGGCAGAGGGGACAGCAAGTGCAAAGGCCCTGGGCTGAGAACATAGTTAGCTGGTCAGAAAATCACTGAAGAGGCTGGGAATAGTAAACAAGGGGTAAGGAGCAGAATAGGGCACACCCAGGACATTGCTGGATCTCAGGGTGACTGGGATGGACACCAAGTTGTGGTGGAGTAGTCTGGAGGGAGTTGCACTGCCTACCCAAAGATGACACCTGTCTGGTATTTCAAATCCACCAGCAGATCCTCACGGGAAAGCTGGTCAATCTCCTCACATGTGATTTATAGCCTCTGAAAAACTACTGGAGCATCAATGATGAGTCGGTTCTGATTTGATGGCAATAAGAGTTGAGAGGAATGGGTGGTATTGTAAAAGCCGAAATCTGAAGTGGGTTTCCATAGAACGACAGCCTGGAAAACAGAAGGAGAGGAAGGAGAAAGACAGCGAGACGTGCAGTAACCCAGGAGAGAGGAGGCCTGGCTTCTCGGTGGGGCGCAGCCGTGGGCCAAGCACTGGCTTTGAGGACCATCTAGGATTAATGTCAGGGCTTTCGTTGGGGCTTGGATCAGAGTCCACATGGAGAGAATATTAAGAGTCATGCTTGGCCCGGGTTGGCGTGGGGGCCTGGCTAAACCCAGTTTTCTTTGCAAGACTCAGAACACGTGGCTATAAATAGGAAACACAGCACTTCCAGACCCACTCAAGTATCCCACCAGGGCAGGGTGGGTCTCTGAATATGAATAACCATTGACCCCCTCCCACTCCATCAAAGCATCCCACCACGGCCTGGCCTCCGCCTGCCTAGGTCACAGCTCTGGCCCTGCCGGTCCCTCAGCGCCCCACACGGCGGCCCCAGGCCAGCCCCCACCCGCTTCACCAAGCCCACGCAGCTTGGCAGGCGTGCCACTGGGCTCCCTGTGAGCCAAATGGTTTTGAGGAGAACAGGAGACAGCAGATGTTCCTGGGCTGCTTTCCCCTGGGTTTCCTGCCAGAGCAACGGAACCAAACTGGACGTGTCCACACCGCTGACCTCAGCCCGGCTGCCCAGTGCAGCACGGGACAAGCCTTGGCCCTTGGCCAGGCTGAGCCCCAGACATAAGCCAAGGGAGTGGCTGCTGAGGCCTTGGGTCCAGACAAGGGTCCCTCCTTGGCCTAGGAAATTCAACGTCAGCTCAAATGTGGTTCTGCCGAAAGTCACCACCAGAGCCCAGCAGAGTACTGAATCCACAGCCTCACTGGATCACTTGGCTGGAGCCACAGAGGATGGGAGCTCCATTTCCTCCTGCTTTACAGATAGTGTTCAGAAAGGCTAGCACGTGAGGCCACTAGGGTCCCTTGGTGCTGCAGACCTTTAACACACTTGGCTGCTGACTGAAGAGCTGGAGGTTCAAGTCCACCCAGAGGCAGCTTGGAGGAAAGATCTGGCAATCTACTTGCCAAAATATCAGCCACTGAGAAGCACATGAAGTAAAATGTCCTCTGACACACCCAGGATCACCATGTGGGATGACTTGGTAACAGCTGGTGGTGTGAGTCCATCTAGCCCAATCTCCTGCAGTCTAGTCCCTGAAGCTCCAGGCCATTGTCACCTGGCCTTAAAGCACTGGCTCTTTGCTTCATTGTACAATTCTTCCATCCTGAGGCTGCACCAAATTCTGATGACAGAAACACCATCAGCAGCAACCCCCAACTTCTACTTCTGGGAAGGAAGGGTCAGTTAGTCGCTGAAAACCAGGGTAGGCTGGATGAGGTGGGAGGTGCTTTAAAATTCACAGATACTCCACGGAGGAGGGGGGATGGAGGCAAAGGCTGAGGTCCCCTGCCCACTCAAACTTCAGTCTGAGAGGTAACAACTAGTGACCATGAAGACACCTTTCCCCTCAGCACCCAGTTTCCTGATGCCTGAATGCTGTAATTTCTTAGATGGGGGCATGCAGTTCACAAAGGGGCACTTGCAGATTGTCATGTTGCCTGACGATAGCCGGGTTCTTCCCTCAGTGGATGGGGCAACAGATGGGAGCAGGGCTTTAGCCGCAGGATCCTCCCTCTCTGTCCTGCAAGGCTGCCTGCTTGGACATGGACTACAGGCTCCAGCCTCCTTCTCTGGCCCATGGGGAGGGCCTCGTGACTCAGGAACCCACTAACCAACTTCTTTCTTGGGGAACTGCTCAAAGCAGTTTTATTGCTCAGAAAATGTTTCTGCCAAAGAACATAAAGCTGATGTCATACTGTGAGGCCCTGGGACCAGAGAATCCCACAAGCCGGCCAGGAGTGATAGATAACTCTGTCGGGCCCATCCTGGGACTCTCTCCCCTCAGGCAAGATGTACATGCTTTTTGACCCACTAATATAATCTCCAGGAATTAATATCAGGTGTCTAAAGCTACAGCCTTTTTTTTTGTAGAAAAAAATAAGAAACTGTTTCTGGACAGCAGACACCCAAAATACCAATATTAATTCATGATGATCCTCCATCGGGTCTCTGAGACTGCAAATTTGACATTTTTCTCTCATGCAGCCCAGATTTGAACAGTTATCTGTCCAGTCAGCAAACGAAAGCACCGTGGAAAATGGTTACGTGAACTCAGTACATCCATGGAGAGGAACATTCTGGAGCCATTAAAAAGCAATTATAAAGCTCCACAGACACCAAGAGGGCACAATTTCCAAGACATATTAAGGGAAGAAAAGCAAGACCTAGAATAGCACGAATAGCATAACATAATACTATTTTTGTATGAAAATGGAGCTGTGTTTACACGCATGCGCACAGACACACAGTTGTGTACCCACTGATTTCCTTCTGGAAGGGGTTGCCTCTGACTTTAAGGCCGGTGGTAAGAGGGACACTTTGGGGTGTTTAAATGTTTGCCACATGCAGATATGACTGCATTTTCAAAGAGGCTGGGGCTCCATTGTCAGCTCTGGGCTACACCCACACACTGACCACCTCTTGCATCCTCCCTTCCCCTACCCATAAGCACCTGGGTCATAGCTAGAGCCAGAAGGAAGGGGCAGGGAGGTGCGTGAGAGCAGAGGGGCGGGGAGAGGGCCTGGGATGAATGATTTACAGGCCCTGGGACACTGGGATAAGGGGAAGTCCAAGCTCCTCTAACAGGTGTCTGCTGTGGGGCTGGCCACTCCCAGACATCTAATGAGTAACCCTCCAGGCCAGATTCCAGCAGGAGCAAGTGGGGTGTGGGGAGCACCCCAGCTCTTCAGAGGTGAGCCCAGGTGGAGGAGCTTTGGATAAGTTACTCAAAACTCAAATGATAGCTTTTCTCTCTGTTCCGGCCCTGGGGCCCACCTCCAGTGGTCATATTGTATGGGAAGCAGCAAGGTCCTCATCCTCTAAAGTGTACGTGGTCAAAGTCCTGGAAAACACCAGGGGAGAACTCCAAACACTTGACGCGTAGCCTCAGAATGGCCTGGAGAACTTTGGGAAGAAAACAGATGTCTGACCCTGTAAACTCGGATTCAGTGGGACAGGAAGTGGCCTTAGGAGTTCGGTATTTGAATCACTCTCCAGATGATCCTGATCTTAGGGCTGAGCAGGGCAGTCTCTCACTGTCTGGGCAACCTGAAACAGCATCTCACCTCTCTGAGCCTCATTTTCTGCATCTGTAAAACAAGCATCATTGTTAGCATGAGAATGGCCCCCCTATTCCAAGCACTTAACACATGCCACTTATAAAGTTGTACAACTGTTCTCCCTATTTTACAGTTGAGGAAATTGAGGCCCAAAGAAGTCCATACTCCTGGCAGATGGGATGGAAATGCAGATCTTCCTGTCCTCCAAAATTGCACGGAAATGGGCCACACTATGAAAATTCTCATTATCTCCAGCACTCGGGTGTGGGGTAAATACTGGAGATG